CACAATCCAGCCTTGTGCGTGCAGGTGGCGGAGTCTCCCTCGGTGCGCCGGAGGCTGATCCTGGCAGAAACCACTATGGTTGGAGACCTCCTGGACTACGACGGGGGGGACTGGCTGGATCCCCGAGCGCTTGCTCAGTGCATGGGGCTCTCCACCCTCCAAACTTCTCTGAGCCTACTCCAGGAGGTGAAAGCAGCTTTGCCGCAGCCCGCTTTCAACTTCCTGCAGCGATCCGTGCGAAAGGGTACACCCTGCCCCTCCCTTCCTGCAAACCCCCCATCCCTTTTTATCGGGCCCCTGTTCCGCGGGCCCCCCCCGGCCTCCCCACCCTTGGACCCCCAGCCGGCTGCAAAACTTACTGCCGGTTTGCTTTTGAACCGCGCCTAGAGAACATCTGTACACGCTCGTGCTCCACACTCTGCATTTCCCCACGCTCGTGTCCTGCCCCGATCCCAAGTGGTGGAACTATCTAAGACCCATAGAGGGCGGGGAACCCTGATGGGCCAGTGTGTATTACACCCTAGTTCGGCTGCTCCTGCACGGAGCCGTGAGCACGGGCGTGTACCTGGCGCAGTTCACCCCCATCCCGGACACCTGCCCTTTCTGCAGCGTGAGGGAAAACCTGGTGTATGTCTACCTTGAATGCACCTTTTGGAGCCCCTTTTCCAACTCCACCCAAACATTGCCGAGGTGCTGGCTGCACGTCTCCCTCCCCTGTTCATTTACGCCCACCCCATCCGTGGCCCCACAATGTCGCGAGGCCACGTCCGCTTGGATTTTCCCCAGAGCTTCTTCCAGCTGCTCATCCAGACTTTCTGATCTCTCCTCTGCAGTTTGAGCACGGATCTCAGCATCTCTGAAATACAGAAGCCAGGAAAACACTGAAACCTTTGCCTGAGAGACTCTGTTGGCAAGAGTCTCAACATTCAGACTAAGGGTATGTCTACACTACCACCCTAGTCCGAACTACCGTTACTCCTCGTGAAATGAGGAGTAACGGTAGTTCGGACTAAGAAGCCTAGTCCGAACTACGAACTCCGTGCCGCGCGGCTACACGCGGCATGGAGTCCGCACTAGCGGACATTTAAAAATGGCGGCGCCCGGCTATATGCAAATGAAGCCCGGGAAATTCAAATCCCGGGCTTCATTTGCAACTCCGGTTGCCTACATTACCACCCTAGTTCAAACTAGGGTGGTAGTGTCGACATACCCTTACTGAGGTTCTGGCTGCACTTTTCCCCACACCTTTTCATTTACGCACACCCAATCTGTGGCCCCACAAAGTCACAGGACCTCCTCGTCAACCTCCTCTTGGCCTTAGCTAAAATGGCCATCTACAACACCAGGGAGAGGATGCTAGACGAGGGGATTCCCTGCGACTGTGGGGTCTATTTCCGTTCATCCCTACCTTAGCTAAAATGGCCATCTACAACACCAGGGAGAGGATGCTAGACGAGGGGATTCCCTGCGACTGTGGGGTCTATTTCCGTTCATCCCTAGTGTCATGTATCCTGGCAGAGTTCCTCTGGGTGGCATCCATTTGCTCCATCGACAGCTTTGAGGAGCAATGGGTACTGTTCGGGGTTCTCTGCTCGGTGTCCCCATCCAATTCTCTTGTTTTGACCCTGTGACCCGCACCCCCTGACCGTGTTTTTCATTGTTCGTCCCAAGTATTTAGTTGATCCCCAGGTCCAGTCATCCCTCCTTCAAGGCTGGGGGAGGGGCTTTTAGAAATGGACGGGCTTCGCCCGCCCACTTCCTGGGTTTCAAATAGGCCCCACTACAGGCTACATACTCAGTGCTTCACCTCTCAATGAAGGTGGCTTTGCTGATCACTTTTGCATCAGCCAGAAGGGTGAAGGAATTGGGGCACTAATGGCTGACCCATCATTCATGATATTTCATAAGGACAGGGTGGTTCTGTGACCACACTCAAAGTTCTTACCAAAGATACTTACTTCCTTTCATTGCAATGAACCTGCGGTGTTACCTACTTTCTTCCCAAAGCCTCAGGCCACCGCTGAAGAAGCTAAATGATACACACGTGGTATGCGCTGAGCGATTGCCTTCTATTTGGAAAGGACAAGGACAATTCATAAAGCAGACAGACTTTTCATCTCCACTGCTGAAAGATCCCTGGCATGCAAATCTCTACCCAGTGTCTACCCAGATGGACTGTTAACTGTATCTGCCTGGCTTACTCCAGTTTTAACCAGGAGCCTCCAGTTCAATTGTGAGCACACTCCACCAGGGCCATGGCAACCTCTACAGCTTACCTTAGTAGCATTCCTCTCACAGACATTTGCAGAGCTGCAACTTGGTCTTCCGCACACACCTTCACCAGACACTATGCCCTCGACACTTACTTGAAACAGGGCACTGAATTCGGACATACGGTCCTGACCGAGGTCCAACACAGCATTTAGCCAAAGCACCTGCCTTCCCATTACAGGTACTGCTCTATAGTTACCTAATGTGGAGCACCCACAGGGACACTCCTCGAAGAAGAAGAAGAATAGGCTACTCACCCTGTGCAGTAACAGAGGTTCTTCAAGATGGTTGTCCCGGAAGGTGCTCCACCGCCCACCCTTCCTCCCCTCTGCTTCGGACATGTTGATTTCTCCTTCCAGGGCAGATAAGTAACTGAAGGGATGGTTGGCTGCACATGCATGGTAGCAGCCGTCTGCCTTGCATGCGCAGCCTACCAGAGGGCACTGCTACTGTAAATCTCCAACTAGCCACACAGCAGCTCTCTCAAAACCTAAGGTGGAGCACCGACAGGAATAACCATCTTGAACCTGCATAGGGTGAGTAACCGTCTCTTATCTATAACATATAAAGGAGAATGTTTGTATGTTTGTGCTTTAATAACTTAGGGTATGTCTACACTACCCCGCTAGTTTGAACTAGCGGGGTAATGTAGGCATACCGCACTTGTAAATGAAGCCCGGGATTTGAATTTCCCGGGCTTCATTTGCGTAAGCGGGGAGCCGCCCTTTTTAAAACCCCGCTGGTTCGAACCCCGTGCCGCACGGCTACACGGGGCATGAACTAGGTAGTTCGAACTAGGCTTCCTAGTTCGAACTACCGTTACTCCTCATGGAATGGGGAAAAAAGGAGTAACGGTAGTTCGAACTAGGAAGCCTAGTTCGAACTACCTAGTTCATGCCCCGTGTAGCCGTGCGGCACGGGGTTCGAACCAGCGGGGTTTTAAAAAGGGCGGCTCCCCGCTTACGCAAATGAAGCCCGGGAAATTCAAATCCCGGGCTTCATTTACAAGTGCGGTATGCCTACATTACCCCGCTAGTTCAAAAAAGGAGTAACGGTAGTTCGAACTAGGAAGCCTAGTTCGAACTACCTAGTTCATGCCCCGTGTAGCCGTGCGGCACGGGGTTCGAACCAGCGGGGTTTTAAAAAGGGCGGCTCCCCGCTTACGCAAATGAAGCCCGGGAAATTCAAATCCCGGGCTTCATTTACAAGTGCGGTATGCCTACATTACCCCGCTAGTTCGAACTAGTGGGGTAGTGTAGACATACCCTTTGACACTATAAGAGCTACCACAACCAAACTTTGCATGGGATAACCTTTCATCCAGAAGAAGGTTTTAAGGGACTGTGGGAGGGAAGAGATGAGAGACTGATGCCTCTCCCTGGGGCTGCATGGAGCTTGGCAGTGCAGTGAGAAGCAGCTTCCCAGGGGAAGCGGCAGGGACAGTCACTCACTAAGGCCCGCAGAGGGACAAAGAAGTGGAGGGCAGGTTTGGGTGCTGGCGAAAGGCACATGTCTCCCTTCCTTCTCCCTCCCTCAGACTCCTCACCTCAGTTATATCAACTTTCCTGAGCAACACCGGGTAACTCCAGCTAGTTCTGAAATAAGAAAGAGTGCATCTACACTACAAGCCTTTATTTTGAAATAATGTCAAGAGGGAGGACTTCTTACTCCAAGTCCTGTAACCCTCATTCCACAAGGAGTTAAAGGGAAGTCGAAGGAAGTATGTTCTTCCTTTGACTTCCTGCTGTATGGACAGCACCAAACACCAAATTAAGCTATTTCAACTTCTGCTACACAGTTGACATAGCTGAAGTTGCATAGCTTAATTCAACATTTGCCCTGCTGTGTAGATGTGCCCTGAGAGTTTTTCTATATTCCAATAGGGCCAAGATTTCACCCTTTATCTTTATATCTTGAAAAATCTTCATAAAGAGGTTGATTTTGGACTGCACAAATGTTAGGGAGTTCATGATGATACACTTTGCCTGCCAGGCATTCCTCCCCTACCTACTGGGCAGAGTGATGCAGTTCTTGATGGCTAATAGAGTCTCAGTGTACTACATCAACAACAGCAAGGCAGGGACAGCTTGTTAGCCTTGCACCAGGAGGTGCTCTAATTGTGGAAGCATACAGTACACCATTCACCTTGAGGTGTCACACCACCCATGGGCCTGAAATTTCCTAGAGAGCCTGATTAAAAGGCCACTTAAGTTAGCAGAGAGTCTTCTACTAACTTCAATGGGCTTAGGATCAGGCCTGAGTACACAGCTGAGAATGCAGTAGAGCTGGGGTTATGCAATGAGGAGTGTGTGCTATGCCCTGTAAATGAGTGTAACAGAGGCAACATCTGGATATACTTCCTACCCCGCTTACAGGACCTGTGGCACCAAGTGCAATGACTTTAGGAGCCAGTGCACAGTGTCTGCTCCCTACCACGCCTCAATGTAGGCAATGACTTAAATCACTATTAAATCATAATCACTGTCATCTCTTGATAACATCTCTAATAATGTTTGCATTTAATTTTTAATTCATGTTACTGTTTTAGTACAATAGTTACTTCTCTCACCCTATTATATTAATGGAAAGACAAATTTGCATATATGCATGATGTCACATTTTAAACCACTGTCATCCTTTGCAAAACATGTATTTTATAGAATATTACAAACTGTTTTTCACTTCTGTAGTTCATGAAATATATTAAAGTAAAAATATATTTATTCTAGATTCAGAAAAGATGGCGAGGCTATTATATCCGAAAATATATCCATAATTACTATGCACTGAAGAAATATCTGGAAGCTATTTCTGTGAATAATGACATTGTCAGGTAAAGATAAAAAAAGAGATAAAACTTTAATTTCTTCTTCAGAATTAAGTGTGTGGGCGATTACCGGATTTTTTGAATGTTTGTATTGAACATTGGTTACTGACAGTGAAAAATATAAAACTTAGGTCTGCATTCTGTATCTGGTATCCATACGGAACTTCCATTGATTTCAGTGGTCATTTACCTTTGTTGTGATTCCTACAGAAAACCTGACAACTGTTAGAGAGCTCATGTCTTACTGCTTCTTTGTGCTCCGCTGTCTGTCTGTATTCTCCTGTTGTCATTTCTCTTAGGGTGTGTCTAGACTACATGCCTCCTTCGACGGAGGCATGTAGATTAGCCAGATCGAAAGAGGGAAATGAAGCCGCGATTAAAATAATCGCGGCTTCATTTAAATTTAAATGGCTGCCCCGATCTGCCGATCAGCTGTTTGGCGGCAGATCGGGGCAGCCATTTAAATTTAAATGGCTGCCCCGATCTGCCGATCAGCTGTTTGGCGGCAGATCGGGGCAGCCATTTAAATTTAAATGGCTGCCCCGATCTGCCGATCAGCTGTTTGGCGGCAGATCGGGGCAGCCATTTAAATTTAAATGGCTGCCCCGATCTGCCGATCAGCTGTTTGGCGGCAGATCGGGGCAGCCATTTAAATTTAAATGAAGCCGCGATTAAAATAATCGCGGCTTCATTTCCCTCTTTCGATCTGGCTAATCTACATGCCTCCGTCGAAGGAGGCATGTAGTCTAGACACACCCTTAGAGTGAATGATTTTTTGGGAAGAAGACTATCTTTCTGGTATTTGTCTGTACAATGCCTAGTGCAGTGGGGGTATTGGCCTATAATTGGGACTTTGCATCTATCAAAGAAATATATGGTAAATAATAAATAATAACATTCCCTTTCAGATTATTCCCTGTATAACTCTACTGACTTCAGCTTCATCAGAGGACCCTTAAATTTCAAGACTTTGTTTTTCTTTAAGATAGATAATTTACAAATGTCAGAAATGCTTGCTTATTTGAGACAGCATAAAACTCTACTGCCAGCGCTTTGTAGGGTTCCTTGCAACAGCTTCTATAATAAGGCACTGTCCATATTTTCATTAACATGATCACTGGATGATTTACTTTATGTCCCCTCTTTTCTTTGCCCTTACTTTGATAGTCATGACTGACAGAGATCATCACTCTAGTCTGTTAGTGGAATAACTTGGACACTACCCAGGTAACATTATATAGGGTGACCAGATATCTCATTTTTAAAGGGACAGTCCCATATTTAAACCCTTCAGCAGGTGTCCCGACTATTTCTTAAAAATGGGCAAATTGTCCCGTATTTTCTGTTCCTCCCCATCAGTACTGGCAGGTCCTGCTACTGGCTGGATCCCTGCTTGCCTGCTGCCCTGCCCACCAACAGTGAGTCGGCGTGGGGGCTTCAGTGGCCGGTGATGGAGTTGGATATGCAAGGCTGGTGGTGGTGTGAAGATGTAATACATTTGGCTGGCTGTTCTTCCTGTTGGTCTGTCTGTGCAGTCTGTACTGTGTGCCAACTCTCAGTCAGAAGGGCCCTGTCTCCTGTCCTGTTTCTGGCTAGCACTAGCTGAGCACTGTCAGCTGTGGAGTTTGGTGTGTGCGGGCAGGTGCCAGGCAGTGGGCAGTTATATGTCACCTCTGCTACCCACCCATCAGCCCTTTCTATGCTGCCCCTCTTACTTTCCTCTCCCTGCTGTGTCCCTTTGCTCCCCCTCAATCCCACTGCTCCTCTGTTCCCCAGAAGGTTGCATTTTGCTCCTTGCACTGTGAGAACAAATGCCTGGTCAGCGTGTTGGCAGGCTTCTTCCTTCCCCTACTGCCTCTGGCTGGGCCAGCACTCTGGGAAAGCCCAACACCCTCCAGACTAGGGCACTGGTCAGGAAGAACCTAGCCCCAATCTTCAGTAAGCTTCTGTAAGAGTAGCTCTCGACACTTTTGTGGTGTACCTTCTCCATGAGAATATGTAAATGTAAATTATCATGTCTCATCAGTATTTTTCTGTAGAAGTAATGTAATGGCATCCATCCACCTTTTTTGTTTACTGTTCAGTTAGACACATATTTATAGATACAAGCTGGTTCATAATTCAACCACAGAAACCAAGCTTGAAAAAAAATTGTACTGTTAGCAATTGTATCAACTGTATCATCTCTGCATTCTGCCACATCCAGATCAAGTTCCCACAAAAAATCACAGGTTTGCTTTTTTTCTGGGCAGTCAGATCAGTAAAGCTATAAATTTAATCACTATCTAGGATTTACTTGTGACCCAGCTGGGAGTCTAAAATGAGTACTTTGTAACTGGATGAACTGCTGAGATGCAGGTCTTCTTCCTTGTTCAGAATAGTTCAATCATCTCCTCTTGGAGGAAAGAACTGACCTGTAAGCCGTATATAGATAAAATAAGATAATGAGAAATGGCATTTCTACTGTACTGAACATGGATTTACTGCAGTTTGTATTTTGTTTTTCCCCCAGTACGTCTTCTCTTTGTCTCATAGACATTTAATTTGGTATCATACTGAATTATTTTTATATTCTGATGTTTGGCTCTTTTTACTTTCTTTAATGGTTATCTCAGATTATTAATATGTGTACATGTCAATACACATGTCAATATCAATATTTAGATATTTTGTTGAAATCTTAAATTGTGGCAAAATAGGAGAGGAAATGACTTTTTACTATTTCCTTTAACATATAGTGCACTTGTTTCACCTGTCATGTATATCGGCCATCATAAATATGACAAATGTAATCTTCTGGGTTTATTTATTTTGTTGATACATTATACTCTGCTTCTTCATTTATCTGATTTCAGTCTCACAGGGCACATCTACACAGCAGCATTATTTCAGAATAACGAACATTATTCCAAAATAACTATGTGAGTGTCTACACAGCAAGCCCATTATTTCAAAATAGAATCAAAATAACAGGCATCTTATTCTGGATTCTGTAACTTATTTTACGAGAAATAGCGCCTATTCTGAAAATCTATTTCAGAATAAGCCGTGTGCAGACAGGACAGCTAGAGTTATTTAAAAATAAAAGGCCTCCAGGCCTTTCCAGAGGTGTCCTACTAGCCACTCCGTCCACATAGTCCCCCTTCACCTGCAACTGTTAAAAGTACAGCCAGAAGGGAAAGGGCTTGTGGCACACAGCAGGCCCTGACAGCCCTGAGCCACATAGCAGCAGCCTGCACAGCGTTGGCAGCCACCATGAGTGACCCTGTTGCTCCCACTGAACCCACCACAGTTGCAAGGGAGCCAGTAGCCAGCTCCCAGGATCCTGCCCGGAGACAGAAGAGGCACACGCCTTCCCGGTTTGGTGCAGAGATCCTGGACCTCATTTAGAGGAGAGCAGGTGCACATGAAGATTAAGGAGCTTTGGCAGGCCTATGCCAAGGCCATGGAGCACAGCTTCTGCTCTGGGGCAGCACTGCAGGCCAGCCCATATTATGCCCGGCTCCACCACATCCTAGGGGGTGGGTAATCCCCTTCCCACCTACCCTTGTTGTGGACTCAGGGATGGAGACACCCGTTGTCACCCTCCTGAGGGGCAGAACCAGTGCAAAGGAGGAGGAGGAAAAGGAGAAGGAGCTGGACGAGGCCAGCAGTATTTCGTGCCCACCAGCTAAGTCATGCTCGGTACACCCCACCCAGGATGTTTCCCAGGCATTGTCCAAAGCTGGGGAACGCCCATCAGGTGAGTGCCATTACTTTCCTAGACACACACGGATGAAGGTGGTGGGAGATGAGGGGCAGCGGCACACTCCTTGCTCAGCCTCCTTGGCCTGGTGGTCGTGCAGCAGTCAGTGCATGTGGAGTGCCAGTCCAGGGTACAAAGTAACAGAGGATTCTTGTGCTCTTGCTCACATGGTGACTTGCTCACATGGCTGCCTTACTCCTGACACAGGGGTGGGACAAAGCCACCACTAGAAGGAGGCTGGGAACATAGAGATGCACACACACACACAAGGCAGTGCCGCACATGGGCATGCCTGCACTCTCAGGGCAGCATCTGCTCCCGAGGACAATGCGGCGAGGTGGAGGATCATCTGCCACTCACGCTCACCTCTTCCCAACACCCTCATGGCTGCCTTACTCCTGACACAGGGGTGGGACAAAGCCACCACTAGAAGGAGGCTGGGAACATAGAGATGCACACACACACACAAGGCAGTGCCGCACATGGGCATGCCTGCACTCTCAGGGCAGCATCTGCTCCCGAGGACAATGCGGCGAGGTGGAGGATCATCTGCCACTCACGCTCACCTCTTCCCAACACCCTG